GGAGGATAGCATGATAAGTGTAGAATAGTGGCACTTATTAAGTATAAGTAAACAGGATATTTCCCACCTGGGGCACCGGAGAGGGCCTGAGGGCCTTGGGAGGGTAGGAGGGGGTGAGGCAGCAGCTAATACAGTCACCGCTAGGAAGGGTGGCTGCACGGAAGAGGGAAGATCTTGGTACATTATTTTATTCATTCCTTCCAACAGTTGTGTGAAGAGATGTGTGGTATTTCTACTTCATACAAATGAGGAAACTGGAAAGCGGGTAGAGTCAGGGTTTTAAGTTGTCAGACTCCAGAGTTTGTGTTCTTTCCTCTATGACCTGGTAGGCCCCTTGAATCTCTAATTTTTGGTCTTTTTGTTTGGAGTAATCATTGTTTTTTCTAGGTGGAAGGATACTTTTAGGTGCTGGGTGATGCTATTTTAGAAATTGTGACAATCCTGAAGGAAGAGAAAAGGGAAAGGAAGCGAAGTTCAGATCCCTTTATCCAGCAGAATTCATTGGACCTATAGGGTGCTCTGAGCCTGGAATTAAACATAGGCTAAAGGTGTTCGAGCTTATGTGTGGATCTCTCTTCACCTAGCAGAGTTCAGGTACACTTGAGTGCAGAACGTTCTTTTCTCCTAGCATGGCACAATAGAAAGAATGTGGCCTTTAAAGTCAAACACAGCTAGGTTTGAACCCCATCCACCAGCTGTGTGACCTTAGGGAAACTCCTAACCTCTGTGGGTATTACTCCCTATCTCATGGTGTTGTCATGAGAATTAAATAAGAATGGAAGAAAAGTTAAAAGCACAGTGCCAAACATAGAAGGCACTTTTTCCTTTTCTCATCTCCCAAAAGTTACGCTCTACAGAGGGCTCCAGTTAAAAGCTAGAATTAGAGAGTGTTCTTTAATTTTCCCAGACATTTCTGGACTATAGTTTTGTTTAGAATTTATCATAATGGTGATAAATTTCTTTTGACCCCTATAAAAGCTCAGTGAAGTAGATAGGGCAGGTATTATTTACAGCGAAATTGGGTCCTCTTTTCCCATTTCTTGAAATCCTTTAGAAAAGATTTTGGTTACAAAGGTTGTCTGGAACTCTAAATGGTATGATAGTGACATCTACTGTAATGGCTTGTATTATTACAGTCTTTGAAGAAGCCGCAGTTTAGATAATATAACACTATCATCAGGAAGAATTCAACAATTGATTCATTAGCTGCCATTTTGGGTATAAAATGTGAGGAGGTATAAAAATGTGTCAAATATACTTTAACAGAACCACTTGTGTAAAATAATTACAATAAGACCTCAATTTTTCAAGAACTACCATCACTTAGAAGATCTGGATTACTAAAAACGGTTTAGAGGTGCTGTTGGAGTCTCTAATAAACTTGGAATTTTAAAGTTCAAGGTAATGCTGTGATTGGTGTTTGGGCTAAAAAAGCTAGATTCCTCTTTCCTGTTTCTCTTTTTAAAAAAGCTAGATGTGGTAAGTATAAGAGTATTAGCTGGAGGAAATCAGAGATAGGGAAATAGCCAAGGCTGAAGTGGCCAAAAGAAAGTGAAAAGCGTAGCAAGTGTTGGAGCATCTTGGGTGAGGCGATCCAGGGTGCGGGGGAGAACAAACAGAATGACAAGGAGGCAGGAGATGGACCCACAGTATTTCATCAGGAATTTATTTTAAAAAGCAGCTTCCTGTGATAGGTTCTGGAGTTAGTATAGGTGTAGCCTGAGCTCCTGCCCTTGCAGCATTATACAATTAGAATTCTTGAATATATTGACCCCAAAATACTTTTTAAGAAAAAAATCCCCAAACTTCAAAAAAGTTTGTGTTCAAATATTAATTCTTGGTCATAATAGAATGTAAACGGACTAGAAAGCATTTATGCTAGAGGTAAAACAGAAAAGTTGTGCTTGGAGGATGGATTTGGTAACTAGATTATTCTCTGAATATAGCATTTGAAAATTCATTAAAATTTTATTTTTTATAAATTTGCTATGCAGTGTTATATTTTAACTTATAAATGAATTACATTATTGTAACAGTTCTAAAAATATTTAATTTTGAAATATTTCAGATAGAAAAATTCAAATATTGCAGATTAATAGACATCCATGTTCTCACAACCCAGATTTAGTAAGTATTAACATTTTGCCGTATTTGCCCAAGACTTAAAGAAAAAAATCTTCTATACAAAACTGAAGCTCCTTTCTCCTATGCATGTTTTTATATTTTCTGTACGTATATAACCATGAACAATATATATATTATGTGTCTTTTTAATTGTGGAAATAGATACTCTTATTCTGCTGATGGGAACTTAAATTGGTAATGGCTTTGGAGAATGGTTTGGCAATACCCAATAGAGTTGACATTGGTCTGTGTCAGTTTTCTCATGTTGCATAACAAACCACCCCCAAACTTAGTGGCTTAAAACAGTGATTTCTTATTTCTCCTTATTCTGTGAGTTTTCAGGGTGGTCCCTCTGTATGTTTTGCTTGGGCTCATTGATGGCAGCTGCATTCAGCTGGGAGATTGGCTGCTTTGGAAGGTTCAAGATGGTCTCACTCACATGGCTGGCAGTTTTTGCTGGTTGTTGGTTTCTCTGCCATGTGGCCTCTTCTCTTCCAGTAGGCTAGACTGGCTTCTTCATGTGGTAGTCTGAGGGCAGTGGTCTAAAATCAGAAGTGGAAGTTGATGTCTGGGACCTGAACCCACCCAAATGTGGCTTCTATGCATTTTATTTGTCAAACAAGTCACAGGCCAGCTCTGCCTTTTGATGGAAGGAGTGGCAGTCACATTGCATAGAAGCATGGAAAGACATGTTGCTTTCATCTTTGAAGACAATCTACCACATGATCATACCCGGCAATTCAGCTATTTTACTCCCCATGTCCTAGAGAAACTCTTTCACAGAAACAGAGACATGTACAAAGTTGTTCACGGCGGAATTGTTTTTAATAGCAAAAAAGTAAAAACAGTTTAACAATCCTTCCAGGGAAAATGTAGATAATAAATTTTAGTTTATTCGTATAATGGAATACCATATAGCAAATAAAATGAGTGAACTATACATGGATCACCATGGATAATTCTAAAAATAGATTGAAAACATCAGGTTGGAAAAGAATATGGGTAGTATGATAATATAATATGTAATATATAATAATATAACAGTCTTAAATTTTAATATTTGAAATTTCTCAGGTGGGCTAATGAAGATTTTGCTTTTGCTTTTAAATCAAAGCTTATCTTTGGCCTCATTAGAGCTTGGTGCTCTAGGTGTAGATCTTCATCACTAAAAGCTGATAAAAGTGTAACTTCATGAGTAATGTTGGAAAAGTCATTGTAAAGGACAATTTCTTGAGATATTCATTTAATACCACTATATTTTATACCAGTTTAACCTCTCTGAGTTTTCAGTTTCTTATGTGCAAATGGGGAGGATATTACATATCTAATTGAGGTATTGGGAAGATTAATTGAGATGATAATGTATAAAACATCTAAAACAATACTTTGTATATGGTAGATGCTCTATAAACAGTAGTTAGAAAAAATAATAGGTACATAGGATGGCATCTATGTTAAGTTCATTTTCAATGGTATTATAATGAGTAGGTAGGTTTACTTTAATTAAAATGGGCTACTGAAATTGGGAAAGTCCATTATGATTAATAATACTTTACATTTTAAAGGAAATTAACATTTTCAAAGTTTTTTCACATTCGTTGTCTGATTTTGTTTTCAGGACAACTTTGTAAGATATTTATATTCAATTTATAGACATGGAATTCCAGTTTTAGGAGAAGTTAAATGAGTAGTAATAGTAGAAAAGTGGCTCTAATGAAGACATATTAAATTGGAAATAATGATACTATAATATTTTAATTGTTGTAAGTTACTCTGTGTTTGTGTGCTTTACCTACTTAGCTTCTGAACAGATTTGTCCCTGTACTTTTTTCCCCCTCTGTGTGTACGGGGAGGAGGAGGAGGAGGAAGCGGAAAAAGATTGTAGAAGAGGACTGACTGTATCTTAATGGGACTGTTTGGAAAGGGAGATCCACACCCTTTCTCTCGCTCAGATCCAATAATGTTGGTATTTTACAACAGCCAGGCAGATTGGCAAGTTTTTTTTTGTTTTTTGCAAATTTGTAAATGTTTGATGGCAACTTAATATACATCAAGGATTTGAGATTTGGTGACTACTGTTCAAATGCGTTAATTCAACTAAAGTCTTTCTCAAATGCAAAAGTTAATATATTTTTAAGAATTTCCTATTTTGGGTGTATGTTTTAAAAGTTTAAATAAACCTATAAATTTGTGACTGTCCAACTTCTTTGGTTGAGTGAAACTATTGGTGGCTGGTATTTTTGATAATCCCACTTCGGAATAATTCCTATTTTGAGGATGTTTTATAATTTTTAAAAATTAGGTACTTTCTAGTATTAAGTTTTTATCCTCTCTTTTTCCTTGTATCATAAGTAAATCACCTTTTACCATTTAGATGGATTTACTTCCAGGGAAGTAAATTTGACTTTGCTTGGGAAGGTATGCTAGTATTGGATTAATTTTGAAACAGGTTATATTTTATCACTTATGCTGTGATTCTGAAACACTTTAGAAACAATTGATATTAAATGTATTTTTTTTTTTTTTGAGACAGAGTCTCACTGTGTTGCCCGGGCTAGAGTGCCGTGGCGTCATCCTAGCTCACAGCAACCTCAAACTCGTGGGCTCAAGCGATCCTCCTGCCTCAGCCTCCCAAGTAGCTGGGACTACAGGCATGCGCCACCATGCCCGGCTAATTTTTTCTATATATTTTTAGTTGTCCAATTAATTTCTTTCTAATTTTAGTAGAGACGGGGTCTCGCTCTTGCTCAGGCTGGTTTAGAACTCCTGAACTCAAACAATCCGACCGCCTTGGCCTCCCAGAGAGCTAGGATTACAGGCGTGAGCCACCACGCCCGGCCTTAAATGTATTTTTTTGTTTTGTTTGTTTATTTCAGAGTCTCTCTTGATTTCTGAAGAAATACCTGGTAACAAACATGACTGAGTTCTGGCTTATATCTGCTCCTGGGGAGAAAACCTGCCAGCAAACATGGGAGAAACTACATGCTGCTACTACAAAGAACAATAATCTTGCTGTCACTTCCAAGTTCAACATTCCCGACTTAAAGGTGATGTGGCACTGTGCAAGAGTGTATGAGTTCATCATCAGGGAGGGTCCATTCTCTCTCTTAGTAGAAATGAGATACCCAGTTTCTTTTAGAAGAAAACCTTCTCCTCTCTAGCTATTGGCATAATTTGAAATATATCTTATTCTTTGAAATTTTAGGAGTAAACTATCAAAATGGAATACTATCTTTTTCTACTTAGACTTTTTTGTTCTTTTATAAATTGTAATGAGAAATGTTATGAAAATATTTAATATATTACATTCACAAATATTTTCAGAAGTGGAAAATCTTATATACTTAAATGTCAGAGTGAATTTTTCTGTTATTAAATTCATATTGTGCTAACATTGTAAATGTGTTACCATAATCATACTACCTAATCATACTTGTCAATCTAACCTGGTTATTTAATCTAGACAATCTATTTAACATTTATTAAAGATCAGTAATCTGGCAGCCTCAAAGTGAAACAGGCTGCCAGTAATCAGTTGACTGAACTTTTGTAAAGAGTGGAAAGATCATGATGTTTACATTTTGCTGGTTAAGTGAGGCAGTCATAGACAGCATTCATTGAAGAAATACTTAAAATTACCATTTCTTAATATTTTTGGAGTTATGCATGCCTTTGAGATAGGACATTTCCTCCAAAACATGCTCATTTATGCATATGAATTCACTTATAGACCAACCCTCTAATGCATCTCCATGGATCTCCTGCTTAAGAGCTGATGTTGTAAAGCAGGACTTCAAATGACCCACTGTCACTGAACAGTGCAAGCACAGGCCTGTCTTTGAGAAGTCTTCACATCTTAAATGCTGCTTGCACCCATGAATTAGAGGATTATCCTGTACATGAAAATAGCTTTGAAATGTCTGGCAAACATCTTTTAACCACACTAGCACATTATGAAATAAAATATGGACAACTTGAGATTTGTGAAACTTTCAAGTCAAGATGTATCATTTTATTTAGAAAAAAAAGGATAAATCCTAAGTAACAGAATGCTATATTTCGCTTTTAGGTTGGCACACTGGATGTCTTGGTTGGCTTGTCTGATGAACTGGCTAAACTGGATGCATTTGTAGAAGGGTAATGAACTTACATGCATGGAGTAGAGCAAAATGGGAGATCAGTGTTGTCGGGCTTCCTGGACATTGGGTTTATTATCACGTGTATACTCTGCTTATTGGTTTTAGGAAATGATTATAAATCAACTTTATGAAGGTACACTTTACATACAATAAAATGCACCTGTTTGAAGTGTGAAAATAGTGATTCTGTTTTTAAAATCTTTATTGAGCTAGAATTTACGTGCCATACAATTCACCTATTTAAAGTATAGAATTCATTGAGTTTCAGTATATTCATGGAGTTGTGCAACCATTGCCACAATCAATTTTAGAACATTTTCATCATCCCCCTGTTCCTGTTCCCATTAGCAGGCACTTCCTGTCCCCCACCACTCGCTAATCTTTTTGCCACTATAGATTTGTCTGGTCTGGACATTTCATATAAATGGAATACAATATGTGGTCTTTTGTGACTGGCTTCTTTTGCTTAGCATACTCTTTTCAAAGTTCATCCATGCCGTAACATGTATCAGTATTTCATTTCTTTTTATTACCAAATAATATTCCATTATGTAGATATACCACATTTTATTAATACATTCATCAGTTGATGGCTACTTAGTTTTTTTCTAGTTTTTGGCTTATATAAATAATGCTACTATGAACATTTGTGTACAAATTTTTATATTTTTATTTCTCATATGTTTTTATTTCTCTTGGGTATGTTCCTAGGAGTGGAATTGTTGGGTCATATGGTACCTCTATGTTTAGCTTTTTGAGGAGCTGACAAACTTTTCCAGAGTGGCTACGCAATTTAATATTCCCAACAACAGTGTAAGGGGATTTGAATTTCTCTATATCCTTGGCAGCACTTGTTACTATCTGTCTTTTTGATTATAGCCATCCCAGTGGGTATGAAGCAGTATCTCATTTTGTTTTTGATTTACATTTCCTTGATGGCTAATGATATGTGGAGTATCTTTTCTTGTGTTTGTTAGCTACTTGTTTTTTGAAGAAATGTCTATTTGGATCTTTTGCCCATTTTTAATTGGCTTATTTGTCTTTTTATTATTGAGTTGTAAGAGTTCTTTATACAGTATATTCAAGATATAAGTTCCTTATCAGATCTGACTTGCAAATATTTTCTCTCATTCTGTGAGTTGTCTTTACTTTCTTGATTGTGTCTTTTGAAGCATAAAAGTTTTTAATTTTTTTTTTTTGTAGAGATAAGATTTCACTGTATCCCCCAGGCTGGGGTACAGTGGCATGATCACAGTTCACTGTAGCCTCGAACTCCCAGGTTCAAGTGATCCTCCCATCTCAGCCTCTCCAATAGCTGGTACTACAGTCGTGTGCCACCACGCCTGGCTAATTTTAAAATTTTTTGTAGAGACGGGGATTCTCCATGTTACTTAAGCTGGTCTCAAACTCCTGGGCTCACGCGAGCCTCTTGCCTTGGCCTCCCAAAGTGCTGGGATTATAGACATGAGCCAGCTTGCCCGGCCAGTTTTTAATTTTGATGAAATCCAGTTTGTCTGTTTTTTCTTTTGTTGGTTGCATTTTTGGTATGGTATCTGACACCATTGCCTAATTCAGGATCACACAGTTTTATGTCAGAATTTTATAGTTTTAGCTTTTACATTGAGTTCTTTGATTTATTTTGAGTTAGTTTTTGTGTATGTTGAGAGGTGAGGATCCAGCTTTATTCTTTAGCATGCGATTATCCAGTTGTCCCAGCCCCATTTGTTATATAGACTAGTTCTTCCCCATCGAATTGTCTTAGAAGCCTTGCCGAAAATCACTTGAACATAAATGTGAGGGTTTATTTCTGGACGCTCAGTTTTGTTTCGTTGCTATTTCTGTCCTTATGCCAGTACCACATTGTCTTGATTACTATAGCTTTGTAGTAAATTTTAAAATTGGAAAGTGTGAATTCTCCAACTTTCTTTTTCTTTTTCAAGATTGTTTGGCTATTCTGGGTTCTTTGCATTTCCATACGAATGTTAGGAACACAGTGTCAAATTTTGCAAAGAAATCAGCTGCAGTTTGGATGAGAGTAATGTTGAATCTCTTAGTGAATTTGAGGAGTATTACTATCCTAACATATTGTCTTTGATCCATGAACATTGGGTGTTTATTTGAAGATGGTGATGCTTTTGTCTTCAAAATTTAGTTATATTAAAGGAGTTTTTTGAAACGACAGTTTTTGTCACTTTTGAATATGGTTTAAAGTTTGCTCAAATTTTTTAGGGATGGAATCTAAAATGTATTTAGGGCAAATGTAATTAGTCTGGTCCGTAAGTTGTCTGTGCAGTTTGTCAGCTATTCTTTCTACACTGCTCTGCAAGCCCATCTTCTTCAGTCTTCTGAAAGATAGGAGGAATTTAAAAATCATGTCGTTGTAAGGCCCTGGTAGAATTGACAGCTGATAGCTTAATGATTTGAATGCTCCAACTTTTAAAGTCTGAACATTGTGGTATATGATATATGAGGTAATCACAGCTTATTTTTTTTTTCAATAATCTAATCATTAGAGCAGATTTTTTTTTTTTTTTGAGGTGACAGTGTGTACATCGACATAAATATTCTTACAGAGATGCACAGGGAGATCATGAAGTTCTGGGTTATGTAATGTTAAGTTTATAAATTTGACACCAGGAGATTCTACATTCTGAACTATTTCTGTGGTAAACATATGCACATTTTAGAATGTTCATAACAAATGGTTCTTTTTACAAGATGCTTGTCAAATTGTATGGGAATAATGCTTTGTCTCCTTGAAGGAATGGATGAATTTTGGAGACACAGTTAAGTATATATACAAACCCCAAATTAATCATGCTGAAACTTTACAGCTTACATCATTGTTTCTGAAATTGTTCCACTTTTTTAGGCTTGAGATCACTCAGCATAGGATTGTTGTTTAAATTTAGCCCTTCTGTTACCTTTTTCCAGCCCTTACTAGTTCATGTTTAAACTGTTACAGGAGTTTCTTAATTGTCTTTCAGTTTCCCCTCCCAGCTGTTGAGCATATAGTTATCAGAGCAATTGTCCTAAGCCCTGTTTTGACTGTGTTCCATCCCTGTCCAGAGTCTGACATCACAGTCTAAGTGTCTGCAGTCTGGCCCCCCAACCCCTTCCTATACTAAGCTCCCCCACTGCTCAGCCTGCTGCTCTGCTTGGTCTGGACTCTCACCATTCTCTGAGTGCCCACTGCTTTTTCACCTCTTCTTACCTTGAATTGTGTGATGCCCCCTGGCAAGAATATACTTTCTTCCCATGTAATCATCCTTTCAAAACCATTCCTATCCTTCATTATCCTACTCATGAGCCGTTAGGCTTTCTTTATTGTAGTAGCTGGAGGTGATCCCTTTTTCCTTTATGCCTCTCTGTAACCTGGTAAGCTCAGCCGGCACTGACCTCAGATTGCTTTTTTGTTTAGTCATTTATATATTTTCCTATCTATCCAGTGAGATTTTAAGCAATGTGAAGGTGATGATTTTGTCTTGTGTAATTTTGAATCCCACCCAGGGCCTAGAGGCAGACGCAGAATGGGGAAAAGAACACTAACTCCAAAATCAAGACACCATGTTTCTAGTCACTGCTTTGCCATTATCTGGTCTTGTGACATTGGATAAGTCACTTATTCTCCACCTCAGTGTCTTATAAATGAAGGGATTGACAAGGTCATAGCTAGGTGCCTTGCTAGTTTTGGCGTTATATGACAGTTTCCATTATAGCATAGCTCCTTGTCAATAGTAGATGCTTGATAAATAGTTAATGAATAAATAATGTAGGACCTCATTCTTCATCATGACAGTTGCTTATGTTCTGTTGCCTGTCAGATCCCTTTCATCCTGAGTGAAAACATAGTGTCTGGCATGTAATGGGAACATGGTGAATGCTAGTTTCCTGCCTCTTCCTTTGTTCCTGGTCCTTGTGGTCAGATCCGTTGTTCAGTTTCTTGGCATATCGATATATTCCTATTTACAGACCTGTTTCTCACTAGCTTCTCACTACTTTCTTTCTAGACTAAAATATACATTGTATGTAGTCTCCTTAAAACTCTGTAGTTATTCAGTTGATTTTTGCATGTAATCAAATTTTATCCTTAAAACATTATTTATAAGGTGAGACCCATTTGTTCTATAACATAAAGGCAGGTATAATGGGAGCATATATAGTAAAATTCATGTTTTAATGTAGCATTTTCATTGTGTAGCATGGAATTTAAGTCTTTTTCCTAAAAATGGTTGTTGATTTTTTTTTTTTCCCCTCCCCAGGGTGGTTAAGAAAGTGGCTCAATACATGGCTGATGTACTAGAGGATAGTAAAGATAAGGTTCAAGAGAATCTGTTAGCCAATGGAGGTAAGCTAATGTTACATGATTTGATCATTATTAACTCTCACAAAGTGAATGACTTAGCCACAAAAAAGAATGTAAAGAAATATATATATGGACATTAAATACAATTGAAAGCCTTTGGAAAATACAGTTGTTATTACTGAATTTGGTGATGCTGCCAGTTACATCCTGTCTCCTGAAACACAATCTCATGTAAGACAGTCTTACATAATATGTAATATAGCTTACGATATGATGTTGAGTCCTCTGCAGAAGCAATATTACAGAGATTTACCTTAGCTCTTTCTGGGATCTTTCTGTTAACTCATATTTGTAAGTAAGTTTCCAAGATATGTATCTCTGCGTTGTTCCAGTTGCATACCTGCCGTCTTCTCTAGCTTTTTGTATTTAATAGCATACAACTGCTAAATTTATGCAGCGTAATGCTTTTTCCCCTTAAATTTGAATATGGCATTTCTTTACTTAATGTCCATAAAATAGTCTACTGACTTTTCTTGAGCTAGAAGCCAATATTTACATAGAGTTTGCTCTGTATAATAATGGCTTTATAAAGATAGCTTTGACCTCATTGTTGTCATTTGTACTTTCATTTTTGTTTTCTTATGAAATGTCACTTTAGCATTTGCTTCATTTAAAATTAGGTCCACCTTTAATGATATGTCATTATAATAGAATATAACCCTCTCCTTTCATTCTATACTAAATTGCCTGTTCCGATAAGGTCACTGTGTTTTATATTCAGTGTTCCTCTAATCTTACTTCTTCTCCTTGCAAATAATAGATGTTTACTAAATATTTAATCAGTTAAAAATGTAGTGATTCTTGCTCTTTGTTATAATAGTGATTCTGATCTTATTGTTTTCTATTTATGTTAATTTGTGTTTTGAGACAGAGCAGAAGGTAAATATATTAATTTATGGCCCCTTAACTGATCTTGTTAAGTATTTCACAAACCAGGACAATCAGTGTGGTTGGTGGAATGCGTTGGGGGACAATGCATCCAGATGCCTGGGCTAGAGTGTCGTGGTGTCAGCCTAGCTCACAGCAACCTCAAACTCCTGGGCTCAAGCGATCCTCCTGCCTCAGCCTCCCAGGGAGCTGGGACCACGGGCACGCGCCACCGTGCCTGGCTAATTTTTTCTATTTTTAGTTGTTTGGCTAATTTCTTTTTAGTTTTAGTAGAGACGGGGTCTCGCTCTTGCTCAGGCTAGTCTCGAACTGCTGAGCTCAAGCAGTCCTCCCGCCTTGGCCTCCTAGAGTGCTAGGATTACAGGCATGAGCTACCGTGCCCGGCCTAGAGTTGCTTTTGGAAATATCATCTGTGGTGTTGACTTGTTAGTATTATGTAAGGAGAAATTGAGGAGGGGAAGATATTTTGATGGGAATTACTTTTGTCAGTTAGCTTTGCCATACTTGATATTTAGTTTCACTGACCTTGATCCCATTAGATTTGAGGTATAAAGTCATTTTGATTACTAAACTTCCAAAGAATTAGTTGAGTGTCTCTTTGGCTCTGCATTTTTGTCCTTTCCATTTGAAAATGAAAGGGTCTATATTTTGAAAATTGTTGAAGTGTATACTTTTAGAAACAATCATCACATGGTTTTAACAGACAAGTTTATTTTCAATTTGTTTGGGTAAGTTATCAAAGAAAGAACATACTTTTGCCGCCTCCTATTGAGAAGGCAATTTGAAGTAGTTTTTTAATCTTTGTGTTTCTTCTGCAGATGAGGCATATTATGGATACGTACATTTTTCATTAAGTCATCCAATTAGAAGGAGCATCTTAATATATATATACATTAAATTTTGATTAAGGAGAAGAGATTACAAGATAGAAATTTTGATTAATCCATGTTACTTAAAATAGTTCCACATTTATTTAACCAGGACTATTCAGAAATGATATCTTTGCTGATTTTCTCTATGCCAATTTCAGCATTAAATTGTATCACTATGTAAAAAACTATTAAAAAATTCTATTGCTTCTCTTCAGTAATTAATTTATTCCCCTATTTCAGTTGACTTGGTTACTTATATAACAAGGTTCCAGTGGGATATGGCCAAATATCCAATCAAGCAGTCCCTGAAAAATATTTCTGAAATAATTGCCAAGGTAAGATAAGAATTAAGACAGGTAGGATACATTGATTTATAGTGGCTTTGTTTATTTTATAATTTAGCTATGAAATGCTTTTTAGGTTTTTGACAAGGCAACTTAATTATATGTCACAGATACAAACAGAAGCTATCCTTATTACAATTTAGATGTTAAAAGTTGTGTAGGTGTTAAAGATATTAAAAAGTATAACACTTTCATGTGTAGATTATATACATTACTTACATATATGGTTAATTTAAATATTAAATTGACAACGTTTAAGAAAGAACGTTTAAAATTCTATAATTATTATTTATACAAATTTTAAGGATAACAGATCATGTAGAATAGGAAATTGGAATCTATTAAAGATTTCTAGCAGGTGATAGTATTCACTTAAGTATGTTTATGTACGTACTTATTCAAACATTAAACTTTATGGATTCTCTGATGCCTTCTGACTATTTCATATTGATCCCCTGCTCAGAAAAATGCTCATATTCATGTACCGCATGGTTTTATGTACAGTTTAAGGGAGTACATGGACCCTGAAGCCCATCCATGAAACCACCAAGTCAAGAGTTCCTTTTATATTGAGAAATCTTTGAGCTTGAGAGAAATTATAAAAGTCTTAACAGGAGCCATAAAGAGGCAAATAGGCAACCTATTAATTGTTTACCAGCATTCTTTATGACCTGGATGGGGTGAAAAGTGTGGTTTAAATTATTAAACGGACTTTCTTTGGCTCCCAGTGACTTTAGTTGTACAGTGTGCTATATAGTTAAATGTAAAGGAGTAAACTATCAAAGATTTTAACTAAAGTCATCATATAATTTAAAGAAAATGAGCAGTTTGATAATATAAGGTAGTAGTGCTCTTACTATGACTGAGCTTTATGTTCTTGGCCTTTATCAAAGATTTAATCATCTACTTTCTTTTACTCTTGTGATAAGGATACAGGCTTAGAGAGGTGAAGTGACTTACCCTAGTGCTACACAGCTAAAAATGGTAGAGCTAAGTTGAAACCAGTTCTTCACATGTTAAGTCTACTTTGCATTTTCTCTGTAAGTAGTTAGTAGTTTTAGTCCTCTTTTGAAAAATAATTGTAATTTTATTGAAGAAGTATTTTGTGTAATATTGTAACAGTGAAACTCTCTAGTAATTTAGTTCCTTCAGCCTTGTGAACTGAAGCCTTTTAATTAGCAATCCTAGATTCCATTTCCATGGTTTAAGAATTAATAGAGTAATAATAATTAAAATACATGTGGACTAAAAAAAACATTGTCTTAGTAGAAAAGGTTTATATCAAAATTATATTAAACATGAAGTAGGCAATTTTTTTTTTTTTTTTTTTTAGACAGAGTCTCACTGTGTTGCCCGGGCTAGAGTGCCGTGGCGTCATCGTACCTCACAGCAACCTCAAACTCCTGGGCTCAGGCTATCCTCCTGCCTCAGCCTCCCGAGTAGCTGGGACTACAGGCATGCGCCACCATGCCCGGCTAATTTTTTCTATATATTTTAGTTGTCCGATTAATTTCTTTCTAATTTTAGTAGAGACGGGGTCTCGCTCTTGCTCAGGCTGGTTTCGAACTCCTGAGCTCAAACAATCCGCCCGCCTCGGCCTCCCAGAGAGCTGGGATTACAGGCGTGAGCCACCGCGCCTGGCCTGAAGTAGGCTATTTTTTAAATGACCTTTTAAAGTTGTGCTTTTAAAATATTAGAATATTCTTACGTCAGAAACTAGTTGTTTTTTTATAGAAATTAAAGTTTACCTACTTTATATTAGTAGATGTAGATTTAGGAAAATTTTTGCTTATTTTTCTTCTTTTTCTTCATTGAAGGGAGTAACTCAGATTGATAATGACCTGAAATCTCGAGCATCTGCATACAATAACCTGAAAGGGAATCTTCAGAATTTGGAGCGAAAGAATGCGTAAGCATATCAAGTATATGTGAATGTTAAGAATTAGGGAAGCACACTAGCGTGCACTGCATGAGATTTTGTTGGGATTTGGTTTAGTAAGTTCCAGTTTATGCTATTTCTGTAATCAAAATGGTAGGGTTTTTTTCAATTCATGGAGAAAAGTTCATTAAGGTAAGTTTACAGAATTCAGACTAGTCAGAACAGATGTGAGGCTGATTTATTACACTTGTTTCACAAATAATACTTGTAAACTGGGTCCTGGTTTATCCCTTTATCCATTTGATATTTCACTGAAAATTATCTGAAATTAATTGTTTTAAGTCAAAACAGTTTAATTGCATAGCAGTTACCTACTGCTTAAAAGAACTGTATAGAAGAGGACTCTTCATGATGTAATAATTATTCTCTTATCTATCTCTTTGCTGAGTTTAGGTTTTTCACACATAAGGTTTTTTAAAAATAGGACACAATTGTTTTGGTTGGTCTTATAGTATGACTGTTACAAGTATAGTGTTGGGCATGCAACTATTCAAATTGTACATTCAAATCCCAGAGGGAAGGTTGGTTGAATAATATGAGTGATACCAACAGGGCAAGATGTTTTTGGTATGGGAAGATGTGATTACTGGAAGACCAATGAAGACTGATTTGAAAAAGTTGATTATTGGGTTAACTAACCAAAATTACCTGGTATCACATGATACGCAAGGAGGAGGGGAACACTAAAGGTGTTGTGCTTAGATGACATAATTTCATAATTATGATGAAATAGACTTTAATTGATATCTGATGAATAGCACTTTCCCAGGCAAGATGTTATACATGTAATCAAGGGAAGAGCTGAGTTATAATAATTAAAGCAAACACAAAGGTAGACACTAGAGGCAAATTTGATAAATGTTGACATTTCTTTGCTGGTAAGAGTGGGATATGTTCACTTAAATGTTGACTTCTTACAAAGTAGAAATGTACAAAGTAAGAGTGACTAATCCCTGTCTTGAGATGTATTTGTAGTATATATGAATATGGCTAGCCTGCTCTTTTTTCACTTGTGTTATAGAAGCACATAATTATCAGCCAAATGTTTTTTTGTTATTCCTTAGAGGAAGTTTGCTAACGAGAAGTCTGGCAGAAATTGTGAAGAAGGATGACTTTGTTCTTGATTCAGAGTATCTTGTCACATTACTGGTCGTAGTTCCCAAGTAAGTTGTAACTATTACAAAAGATTTTACTTGTTAGAATACAAGAAAAAATGTTAGTATCTAGTATTGCAATTGAAATTTTTCATAAAATCCAAGTGTAAAAGGAATATAACCTTGTCATTCATTCTCTCAATCAGCATTTACTCATGTGGCACACGAAGTAAATCATAACCTGGTAATGGAGACATCAGTTACAAGTTCAGATTCCAAATCAAATTTAGCAGCTTGGTAGAGTTGGCTCATTCAAACAATTATGTAATGCTAAATTATTGTATTTTTTAAAAATACAGATTTTAGATTTTTCAAAATAGGAAGATCTTTGGATTTGTTTTTTTTTGAAAAATCTTTGGTTAGGATGAATTAAGCCCTGTAAGAAACAAAGAATGGGATTAGAACAGAGTTGAGCAAATTCTTTTCTGTAAAGGGCCAGATAGTAAGTATTTTAGGCTTTGTGAGCCTGTCACAACTGCTGAACTCCGCTGCATCAACTTTGTGCTTATAGCTGAAGCAGCCGTAGACAGTATGTAAACAAACATGTGACTATGTTTCAGTAAAACTTACTTGCAAGAACAGGCTCAGCTATGGACATAGTTTTCTGATGACTGAATTAGATAACCCTTTGAAACCTCCTTAGATTGAGCCTTCTGTGTTATTAATATTTAATATTTGATCATAGTTCATCCTGGTAAAATGAAACCTTTGGACACTCGTAGGAAGATTAGAACTGTGTGTATGCAACACTATTAATGGTTTCACTCTTGACTTACACTGAAGTCTTATTATCAGGGAATCTTGGGGGATCCAGACTGAGGTGGGAGATTTGGGTCCTTTTTCAGAGCATCAGTGTATGACCTTCCTTGCTGTGCTCTGCATTTTCATCCGCATAGGAGACTGGGAACACTAGAAAATGATGTCTCCTGGAAAGCGGAGGGAAAGCACCTCCATAGAATTTACAGTGGCTACAATATCTGACTTGTGCATTTTTTCCCCTTTACTATAAGTATGTGGGCTTTTGGAATTTTCTTTGGACATGGAGAAGAGCTTAAAGGATTTGGCTCCAAAAGTTTTATTTTGTGTTTTAGTTAAATAACTCCCCTGGTATACTGAGACTGTGATTATTTATAGCAAATTTCTGTGCATCTGTGCTTTTATACTATGCTCAGGTAAAAGATTTGTTTCATTTAACCATTGTTTAAAACTTATATTCAAAACCAGAAATTTTCAGTTTTCTGTATCCTGTAATTGAAACATAGGACCTAGGGCACCTCACATAATGAATTATTTTCTATCTCAGCGTACAAACGCTATAATTCTTTATTTTAAATCTCAAACATAGTTGTCTCTCCCCATAGCCCCAGAAGCCAGTGGCCTGGAGAGAAGGTTGTTGCACAAGGTTCTGTGGCAACATAGTTTACTGTCACTTCACTTACTCATTGCTTCCTGGTACTCTGGGCTTTCTGTAAATAGAGTTTTATTCAGCCCTTCATAATAGCCACTGAGTAGAAATGATAAGAGATTTCAGCATAGCCTTTTTCTTTTTTTTTTTTTAATGAGGCATAATATATATCAGCCATACAGTTTAAAAATAATTTAGAATCTATACTTTACTTCCTTTCCAAACCTAGTTGTAGAATGTGCCTCTTTTGCAATAGTTACTGGATGTAAGAGGATGGTGATCTGTATTTCCTGCATTACTCAATATATTTGAAATTCATTCCCAGTAGGAAACTTGAATTTTTTTTTGCTAAATAGATTTGAGATATACTAATCAGAGTTTCAGTATAGCAGGAAAGTTATGTAACTAAAACACAAAATAAAACTTCTGGAGCCAAATCCTTTAAGCCTTCCTCCATGTGCAAAGAAAAATCCAAAAGCCCACATACTGTAGCCAAATTTCCTATTTGTCTCAGATTTTTTTCTCTTTTGCATATGGAAGGAAGTAGGACTTGTTTTTCTTTTCCAATGCTTATTGTACCTTTTCTTCAGGTTAAACCACAACGACTGGATTAAGCGATATGAAACACTAGCTGAAATGGTAGTTCCAAGGTCTAGCAAGTAAGTAGTAGTCTTTGTACAACCATTTATTCACTAGAATTCCTTTTATAGTTTGGATGTTGGATTAGGAGATGGCTTTGCTGTCTTTCCTTTGTGATAAATTTACAGTTTTAAAACCATCACTTTTATGTCATAAATGAGTTCTGTTGACTCTAGTTATCATAATTTTAGACCTGGAAGGAACTTGGCGCTAGTCTCTTTGACTCCCTCATGTTTATAGACGTAGAAGTTTGAGGCCAGTGAGGTGAAATAGTTTGCCCAGAGTCACACGTCTCATTCGCGGCAGGGCCTGCAACTAGAGCCCAGGTCTCTGGTGTGGCACTCTTTCTGCTGCACTGTGCTGCTTGCTGAAAATTCTTCATTCACTATTTATTACATACCTACTGTGTGTCTGTTATTCCTCATTTTACCTGGCAAAGGAAGTATACTAGGATGACTGCTAGACTGCAGTGTTGATCTCCAAATGTTCGCCATCACTTTGAGCATAGATTTTACCTAATTCCTTAAAAAAAAAAAAAAAAACCGCACACACACAAAAATAACCTTTTTTATTAAGCACTTTTTAAATTTATAGGTTTAACATACATAGTCTAATTTGATATTTACAATAATTCTGTGAAGCAGTGTAGGCAATTATAATTCTTATTCTCATAGAAGAGGAAGTCAGAATGCTTAAATAGTTGCTTAAAGCATATGGCTGCATAAGTGTCCAGTGGCTAAGTTAGGGCTAGAACTCAAATCTTTTAACTCTAGGTCCTGTACTCTTTTAACACTGTTCCATGTCATTTCCGCCTGTATTCTGCCATTGCCACATAAGGTGTTCTTTGACAAAATATTAAATACAGTGTATATACACCCCAAGGGATTCTTTTGTATATATGCCTCTAGAGAAGGTGACCTTGTGAGAGAAAGGTATAGGAGAGAGTAAAGAAGTGGAATTAGTAAGGTCAGGCCCATGAAATATTTTCTTTTCCAGTTTCATTGTGTCATATGGGAGGTAGCTTAGTATAATGGAAAGAGTCCTGGACCCAGGGATCTGAGTTCTATTGCTGGTTCTGCTACCAACTTGCTGTGTGACTTGGGTAAGTCTTTTAACTTCTCTGGGCCTCATTTTCTTTGTCTGTAAAGTGAGCATAGCACCTTCCCTGTATATGTTATGAAGTTATTTTAAGGCTTGTAAGAGTATACAAAATACAAGGTAAGATTATTATAGTTTCACAAATGTTGCCCTTTGGGAACTAAACCACAAACCTCTGCTCATCATGAATTTTTTTTTTTTTCGTTTGGGGGAATACCTTCCATTCAAACCAGCCCTTTACCTGGTAAACTGGAGACTATAGTTGTGTCTTGATATTAGTTTCTCACTCAGGCTGTTTATCCTGGCAGATAACACCTTCTTACCTGGAAGGCATTCAAATTATAGAGGTGGGCTTTAGGAGGCAGTTGGAGGAGGAGAGGGTGAGGACCTGGCATACACAGAATGTCCTCCAAAGGTGGCATATTCCAAGCCAGATTTCCAGGGGGTGGTGTGGAGGCTGGTTAAAAAGGCCCTGATTTACTTTGAAAGAAGTAGTTCTTTCTTTCTTTTCTTTCTTTCAGTCTCGCTCTGTTGCCTGGGCTAGAGTGCCATGGTGTCAGCCTAGCTCACAGCAACCTCAAACTCATGGGCTCAAGCGATCCTCCTGCCTCAGCCTCCCGAGTAGCTGGGACTACAGGCACGTGCCACCATGCCCGGCTAATTTTTTCTATATATTTTTTGTTGTCCAGATAATTTCTTTCTAATTTTAGTAGAGATGGGGTCTCACTCTTGTTCAGGCTGGTCTCGAACTCCTGACCTCGAGCAATCCTCCTGCCTCGGCCTCCCAGAGTGCTAGGATTACAGATGTGAGCCACCACGCCCGGCCCTTTCTTTCTTTATTTTGAAGAATAGGGTGTTACTCTGTCACCTAGGCTGGAGTGCAGTGGCACAATCGTAGCTTATTGTAACTTCAAACTCCTGGGCTCAAGCTATCCTCCCACCTCAGCCTCTTGAGTAACTATTACTACAGGTGTGCGCCATCATGCCTGGCTGATTTTTTAATTTTTTGTAGAGACAGGGTCTCGCTATGTTGCCAGGCTGGTCTCGAACTCCTGGCCTCAAGCAATCCTTTAACCTTGGCCTCCCAAAGTGCTGGGATTAAAGGTATGAGCCACTTTGCCCAGCCTGAAAGCATTAAAACTTTAAAAATATTACTTTAAGGATTTAGATCTTTTGACAATCACGTTAGTAGTTTAAAGGGAAAATGTTAGGCAGGAATAGTTGGATGTTTTGTCTCTGAATGAACCGTAAGTGCACACTAACCATCTGAGGGTTCCCAGCCCTTCCTCACTCAGTGAAAACATCTGTTCTGTTTCTCAGTTCAAAGGATATTTGGAATTGCTGACTCAAACATACATATGTAAATTCAGTCATAGAGAACATAGCAGTCCCTCAAATACCACTGTTAAGAGTTATGTGTAGTTTATATAGAACAAATAGGCCTTTGTGGATTAGTGTGGAATTTTTTCTGCTATTTAGGAAAGATCTCTATAACTTAATGCTGAATTTTTGGCTTACCAAAATAACTAACGTTTGAGTAATTACTATGTGGTAGTCATTGTTCTAAGTGCTTGACACAAATTAAGTCAATTAATTATAGGTGGTGACACTTGTTACTTTTTGGCATGATACTTGAGTGATTACTCTTGGGAGTAGCGAAAAACTGAAAAGTGGAATTTTGAGATAGAAGAATGGATTGAAAAATACCATCCTCAAACCTAAAAGCAATATTTATTTTTTAAAAAACACAAAATCTACCTATTTGCAAAATAGTCTATCTAAGTATTAAAAGATTTGAAAATTTGATATACTGCCATTATTATGTGGCTAAATGCAGGATGTGTATAAATGCCATGTCAAGGTTATGGCCAGAGAAGAGTAGGCTGGGCTGCTGTTCTGCTTTTCTTTGTTGGAATGCTGTTCAGAAAGAACATGTACTTTGAGAATTACCACTTTCCTTTTTTTTTTTTTTTAATCTGTCTACTTGTTAAAAATGTCTGATTGGGTCAGATTACTGGTTAACTTTTGCCTTTTTTCTGCCATTGGAAACAGCACCACAAAGACATTGGTGCCTCACAGAGGTGAAGCAGGGAGCTGGAGTTCAGGGAGCTGGAGTTCCAAATGAAGCAGAGGAGCCTGGCTAGGAAGTACATAAAAAACGATACCAGCCATTGTGAAAAGTTTCTCTTGTGTTTTGGAGCAGGGGTTGCAAAGGTAACTTTTGTGAAGAAAGGCAGGGAAGAAACAGGTGGATTGATTAGGGAGCAGAGAGTCTTAGGAGAGAGGTTAGAAATCAGATGCAGCAGGAAGAGCTCCAGAAAGCACTGCCACTCTCATGGGTTGCTGAAAATGTCATGAAACATCTGAAAAACATTGACTAGCAATTGACTATTAGGTTCCTCTAGGCCCAGTTACACCTATGAGAAGATAGTGTTACTACTTCTACATAATAGTAGAACTATTAATAGTTGGAGAGAGTGAGTTTGGCTCATTTATTTGAACCTAGTAGAACCTTTTCAGAGTTGGGTTAAACTAAACTCAGGCATAGTTCCTGACCAACATCATATCTGGGGAGAGTTCAAATCCATGTTTAATCATGAAAAGATATGACTTTCTTACCTCTTTCCTCTTCTCGTGGCTTTTGTTTTGTTTCTTTACCTTGGTCTCACATGCCACTTAAGGTCACTATTGGTCTCAAGTCCCTCGCCCATGTGCCTTTGCACCTCCCTGACAATCATGGTGGATCATCAACCCCACTCAGTTTCCGCAGGCTGTTCCCTTGGCCTCACCCTCCAGAAAACATCTACCTCTGGAACCTTAGATCTACAATCCAACTCTTTACCAGACCTCCCCTCCATCTTTCTCACTCTCACTGAACCTGCCCTTTGACTGTGTTTGCATCTCCAGCCCCCCAACCCCTTGTTCACATTGACTTTGGTGATTTCCTCCAATCACACATCCTCTCCTGCCAAGCCTGGACTCTCTCTAGTCATTGCTGCAGCCCTTCTCTTGCTGGTGCTGTCGGCTCTGCCCCATGACCTTCTACAGACTCATACTCCAGATCAATCTATATGCAATCTCCTGGCTTCTATACCTAAATTGCATGAGTGAGTGGGAGAGACTCTGGTAGCCCTGAATACTGGCCGCTCCAGACTTAGGCTGTTCTGTCTCAGGGGGACACAGTCTGTTTTATCAGTGCTGTTTCAACCACACCCATGGCTCTAACCTTACCTGTAGTTTTAGGACCCCTAAATCTCCATCTGTAGCCTGCCTTAACCCCCAGCTTCAGACTCACATACCCAGGTTCATACTGGACCACTCGATGTGATATTCCCTAGGTAACCAACATTGTCACCCCAATCTCAGACTCAAACTCTCTGGGTTCCTTGTAGTATATGGCAGCAACGTCTACATAGTGATCCAGACAAGAAGCATTGATAGCCAGTCATTTTGGACTCTTACTTCTCCCTCAAACTCCCCCCATCCCCATCTAATCAGTTGTATCATTTCTTCCTTCCATAGTATTTGGTTACCATATGAAATCACTGTTTCTTAGGTCAAAAATGATCAAATATCCACAATTTCATATGTTAAATCTACTTTAAACTTGCTCCCCCCTGCCACATGCCTACTGCTGCTGCTCAGTTTACACTCCCATCATCCCTTGCCTGGACCATTGTAATTTTCCTTGACCAGTCTCCTTTCCCCTCATAACTCCCCTTTCATTAGTTCTCCACATTGCTGCCAGTTTTATCTCTGTGACATACAAGTCTGTTGGTTATTGCCCTGTTTAAAGTCCTACTGCTATCACTTGTGCTGCCTCCCCCAACATATACACACCCCTCCTAGTACCCTGCATCCCAGCTGTACCTCAAATCCACCATGCTGTCCATACATGTGTTCATTTGCATATTAGTGTTCTACCTGGCACGTTCTCTTTTGCCTACTTTTTTTTTTTCGAGACAGTCTTGCTCTGTTACCCCAGCTAGAGTGCAGTGGCGTCAGCCTAGCTCACAGCAACCTCAAACTCCTGGGCTCGAACAATTCTCCTGCCTTAACCTCCTGAGTAGCTGGGACTACAAGGTGTGGGCGACCTTGCCTGGCTAATTTTTCTATTTATTGCAGAGATGAGGTCGCTCTTGCTCAGGCTGGTTACTTCCTGAGCTTAAGTGATCCTCCCACCTCAGCCTCCCAGAGTGCTAGGATTACAAGTGTGAGCCACCGCACCTGGCCTCTTTTGCCTATCTTTCAAACTTCCACTTGACATCACCTCTTTTGTAAAACTCTTTTGAATGCCTTCAGGTAAAGTTCCTCATTCCCCAATGTATTATATGTGTCTTCTATTGTAGTACTTACAGCTCTGTGTTGTAGTTACCAGTTTATATAGTCTCTAGATGCATTCCTTGTGGTCAGGAAACAGTGTCTTAATAGTTTTATTCCTAATATCTGGCAAGAGCTTGGCACATTATAGAGTCTCAGTACACGTTAAATGACTAAAAGTCCATTATAGTAAAGACTCATGATTTATTTTTTGGAAATACCTTTCCTCGGGGAGGGAGGGAAAGCAAATGGCTTTTATTTATTTTTTTCTTAATAAGGCGGCACAGTAGGATTTAGTCATAAAACAAGACTGAGTTTTTATCTTGGCTTCTTTCACCGTCAGGATTTGAGAAAGCCGTGTGACTTGGCTGTGTCCCAGGCCTCTGCACAGATAAGCAGGAACCTGCTAATAGACACCCTGCTCGTTGACACTGGGCCATGTCAAGCATCAAATGCTTTTGAAAGGGCCTTCAAAACAGCAAATTATTGTATAATTTTAAAGGATTAATATGACAGTGGTGGGATATATTGTTTATGTCTCTGAAGTAGCTTGTTGAGTTAGATTTGGATTTGTTTTGATCTCAGCCATTTTGTACATCACTGCACTGAGTCAATCTTGGCAGACCAAAAAATCATTAAAAGATGTTTTTATTGAGCTCTGTCCACTGGCTAGCTTCCTTGTTTTAGGTTTGGTGGGCATTAGGAGTAAGAACTAGGGGTAATAACTTTGAGAAGACACAATTTAAAAGAAGATTTAAACGTTCCAAATTTGAAGCAGTTGAGTTTTCTCTAAATGTCAGTTATCACAGTGATCAATACTCCCAAAAGTATGTGTGCTGCTCAGACGCTAGGGAAGTGGCCCCTGCTGGCTGGCTGACCAGGAGCCAGGGTAAGTTCAGTTCTTAAAGCCATTTTGTGATTAAGCATTGTAATTGCTTTCTGAATTTACTTGGCTAACCAGGCAGTTCTTAGGCCTCAGGCAAAACTACACTTGCTTTTAAAAATAAATTTAATAAAGTATCCTTGAGTTCCACAAGCACTCCCTCTGTTTTTTTGTTTTTCTTTAAGAGATGGGGTCTTGCTCTGTCGCCCAGGCTAGAGTGCAGTGGCACAATCATAGCTCACTGCAGCCTTCAGCTCCTGGGGTTGAGTGATTCTCTTGCCTCAACCTCCCAAGTAGCTGGGACTACAGGCGCGCACAGCACCATGCCCAGCTAATTTTTAAATTTTTTTTTTGTAGATACAGGGTCTCGCTATGTTCCCCAGGTTGGTCTTGAACTCCTGGCCTCAGGTGATCTTCCTGCCTCAGCCTCCCAAAGTACTGGGATTACAGGCATGAGCCACTGTGCCCAGCCTCCCTCAGTTTTGTAAAACTTACTATTTTTTTCCAATTTCTGAAGTACCACACTATAAATAAAAACTGAGCATTAAAAAACAAAAAAAACCCTGAGTTAATATTCCCTGCCCCCAGGTCATCACTGTTGAACAGTTAAGTGTGCAGCCTTGTAGGCCTCACATAAGGGATTCTGTACATAAAGGTAAATTCTGAAAGCCGAATTAGGACCCCATACTATACATGTGCTATGCAGTTTGCCTTTCCAAACAGTGGACTTTCCCCCAAGGCATTATAAATTTGTATGACAGGTAAAATTTCCTGGCAGTTGTGTCTGGAAAGGTCTTTCCAGTGCTAACCATGGAGCTGTGACTGAATAGAACTTCTGACGTCACTGGGATCATCTAAAGCCTAAAAGGGTTGCTGAGATGCCTGCAGGCACATTTATTCAGAGGTTATTCAGACAGTTGTGTTTGTCCTTTTTGACCTAGGGTGTGATGGGAGAAAAGGCAAAATCTGAGGTGCTGGCAGCGCAGAGAGGCTAAGCTGGGCCTCAGCAGAGCTGGGTTGGACTGGGGAGGGGAAGAGAGAATTAGGCTTCCAGAAAAGAAGAGAGTGCTTAGCAGGGGGACTCTGGAAACAAACCAGCCTGGCACTGATGTAGATTGAAAGGCATGGTTCTTAAGAGTTTGGATGCTTTACTTGAGTTAATGTTTACTTTTTTTGGTTGGTAAGAAGTAAATGTAATATAGCATGTTAAGGCATCATAAATAGAAAATATAGTAAATAAACATTCAGTGTCTTTGGTGTTTGAGGCAATACAGATGCGTAGCATTGAGGTGATTTGGGAAGGGCCGTCATACCCTACTATTCCTTCTCTTCCTCCTGTTTCTGAATTCTCCCCTTACTATGAGAGAAAGCAGTAAGCACAAAGCTTTAAGTGGACTTTTTCTTTTTTTTCTGTAGTGTTCTCTCAGAGGACCAAGACAGTTACCTTTGTAATGTCACCTTATTTAGGAAGGCCGTTGATGACTTCAGACACAAAGCCAGGGAAAACAAGTAAGATGATGATGACGATGATGATGATGATGATGATTTATTTTGTTAGTTCATTTGTACGCAGTGTGGACAATGTTGTTTTATTCCCCAAATTTAGATTCATCGTTCGTGACTTCCAGTATAATGAAGAGGAAATGAGAGCAGATAAAGAAGAAATGAACAGGCTTTCTACTGACAAGAAAAAACAATTTGTATGTGTTTTTAATATTTAGTACTATCAGTGTTAAGCAGAAGAAAAAGTGGGTATTGCTTTCTTTGATTTAAAAGAAAACAAAACTTCTTTGATTTTCCTTTTAAGAAATTTGATTTTAGTTTTTTCTGTTGAGTAGTCAGAAGAAATTTCCTCTAAAGCTTAGATCTATGAATAGTTATCTTAAAATACATACCTAAAAATTAATTACTCCACCTACATCCATATCAGAGATTAATTTTAAATGCAGAATTTTGGTTAATGTCCTTGTAGTGAAGGGCGATTCTAGTTAATAAAGTTCTCTGTTTTCAGTAAGAATTTTCATTTTCTTAAGGCAAATTTTTCCAATGCCTTAATTTTCTATTGAAGCCATTTGTATTTAAACTATTGAAGAGTTGGTGTGTTGTAGGCATCATGGGGAACAGGGATGGAACTGTGAAAATGAAAGATGGCATCGACTTTCTTGCCATCTTCAAGTATAGGATTACTATGAAAACTAAAGGCTTGTATGGAAAGGGAAACATGCAGTGAATGATAATGTGTTTCCCTTGTAATATGGGGGAGAAATAAAGGCAAATTCCACTGAAAATTATTTCTAAGTACTTTATAAACCATATTATCTCGACTGGGAGAAAATTAACCCTAACCAAGTAATATCCAGTATAACGAACTTGTTGGGGAAGACCCAACCCTTTAAAGAACAAATATTTTGACCAAAGATTTTCACTTTGTTATCTTTTTTTTTTTTTTATTTCAGCATATTATGGGGTACAGATGTTTAAGTTACATGTGTTGCCCTTGGTTCCCCTCCCCCCAAGTCCGTGTTTCAAATATGTCCATCCTTCGGGTAGTGCACATTGCACTCCTTGTGTATACAAATACCCGTCCCCTCCTCCCCCCTCCTCCCACCGCCCTCCCCCTTCCCCAGCATCCACACTTTGTTATCTTTATTGCTTAAATTAATTGATTGGTACATCATAGCCTATTAATATTATCCAAGTGTTAGCTGAATTGGTAATGTATGTGTATGTCTTTTGAGTGTGGAGAGTCTATAGTATTTGAAATTTGTTTCTTTAAAGAGGTATTTAATTCTACCAGATATTTTAAGTTCAAAAAGAATTAAATACTACATAATAGAAAATCATTTAAAATTTAGAATGTAAAGAGGTTTTGGAGATCTGTATCAACCCCCTTATTCTACAGATGAGAAAACTAAGAGCTAGGGCTGTTAAATCCCTTGCCTGTATAACTATAATATTTACTTTTGTTTCTGAGAAGTTGTTTGCAGGTAGAATTCTATTTTAAATGTATTAAATGTTTTAGAGTATTGTGTAGTAAATTCAGATTTTTATATTTTGCTTTTCAAATCTAGGGTACTCCTATATTTTATACCACTTTAATTAAAATATATGTCTTTTTCTATGTTAGTGAATTGGTTCAGTGCATTTTAGTGTCTGTTGAGGTTACCTAGTAGTGGCTAACCTTTTAATCTAATTCAAGGTAAAGTATCCAAGATAATGAGAATAATACTTAAAACATTTAAAAAGTGACTTATGTGACTTAATTCTCCTATAGATTCCTAGTGGACAGTTACTTCTTTAAAAATTGTTGGTCTGTCAAATTGTCTTTTCTAAGAACAAATTTGTGGTAATTTTTTTTTTTTCGTTTTATAGGGACCACTCGTGCGATGGCTGAAAGTGAATTTCAGTGAGGCATTTATTGCGTGGATTCATGTGAAAGCTTTAAGAGTTTTTGTTGAGTCTGTTTTAAGGTAAAGAAAGTTAATTGCAAAACTTGTAACTGAAGAGTTCATGGATTCTTTCACACTGGACCTCTTTATTTATAACACAGTCTAGCAATATGAAATCGATTTGGAGAAACTACAGGGCCCATCATGAAGGAGAGATTGTCAATATCATGCAGCTTATAAAGTGTGAATCAGTCTTATCCTTTAACACCAGGTTTAGAGAAAGATCCATGCTGGTATGCTCTCGGGTTCTTTGCTTATGTAGTTATTTAAGTTAAAAGTAGATTGTAAAATATTAGCCAATGTTTGATTGAAAGGAAGATCTTTCAAATATTTTACATGCATTAATAGTTTGGTATGCAGTATACTAATGACTTATTGAAATCATCTCATTAACCTAAAATATTTTAATATTTTGAAATACTTACAATCTCAATCATTTTGTCCTCTGCACATGTTGCTCTAACTTTATTAGAAATAGTTTTTAAAAAATTGTATGTAGCTGTGCTCACTGTTTCTTTAAATTTTCAATGTAGATGTGGGTAATCTTATGTTTATTATCATAAAAGTATCTACTAACTTTACATGTTATTATTTCCTGAGGCTATTCATAGATTGCTTTAAAAATTGAATAGTATTAATAATTAAAGTAATTCCTAGTAATTGGCTCGTTTTAAAGAGAGATTTCTAGTGGGCAATGAGGACCAGAGGTTTATGTTTCTATGTATGTTAGTTTTAAGTTTTTTATGTAAATTAGTTTAAGGTTCTATGTGTATTAGTTGAACTTGTGAAGGTAGTCATTAAAATGAGATACCCTTTCCCTGTTAATCATGGCCAAAGAGTTTGAAAATACTTGTTTTAAAAAACAAATCTCTTCATGTGCCTGCTTGTGTTGCATACTGTATTTCTGCTTCTTTCTAAGGTATGGCTTGCCAGTGAACTTCCAAGCAATGCTACTTCAACCCAATAAGAAAACAATGAAGAAACTGAGAGAAGTATTATATGAATTGTATAAACATCTAGACAGCAGTGCAGCAGCTATTATTGATGTAAGTACTTACTTGATAGCCTGGTAGAGTAGGAATTGGAGTGAATTTCAGGAAAAAATGACTGGAAGATGATAGAAAAGGGATAGTAAATATCATGATACTTAATCATGTTTTATTACTTTAAGGTTCTCAGTTTGTTAGATAAATGTAGCAAGTAATTTACATTGTTGACTCTGGTTTGTACTAGTTGTAGCTGTGCTTTGCTTCTTGATATTTCTAATAGCCAGTCATTATCCTGCTGTATATCAGATGTTTATAGCTGCAGATACACAGAAACAACCAGTGATACTAGTTGTTTACAAAAACTGTAAATTGCAGAGAGGAAGAAAATAAGTAGTTATTTTAATTTTATTTGGCAGAGATAACAGTCAATAGATGAGCATTTTGCCTAGCACTCTGGGAGGCTGAGGCGGGCGGATCATTTGAGCTCAGTAGTTCAAGACCAGCCTGAGAAAGAGTGAGATCCCGTCTCTACTAAAAATAGAAAGAAATTGGCTGAACAACTAAAAATATATAGAAAAAATTAGCCGGTCCTGGTGGCGCATGCCTGTAGTCCCAGCTGCTTGGGACGCTGAGGCAGAAGGATCGCTTGAGCCCAGGAGTTTGAGGTTGCAGTGAGCTAGGCTGACGCCACGGCACTCTAGCCAGGGCAACAGAGTGAGACTATGTCTCAAAAAAAAAAAAAAATGAGCATTTTGAAAGGAGCTATGATTTTTCTAAAATGGTACATATTTATATCTTCTTTTAGCAAAAGAAGATATAAAAGAAGATATAAACAGACTACATGTGTCTTTTGTTGCTGCTGTTTAAAATTGTAGTGGCCTTTTATATTTAGATTTCAAATTTTTTTTTTTTTTTTTGAGATAGAGTCTTGTTCTGTTGCTGGGGCTAGAATGCAGTGGTGTCATCATAGCTCACAGCAACCTCAAACTCCTGGGCTCAAGGGATCCTCCTGCCTCAGCCTCCGGAGTACCTGGGACTATAGACACATGCCACACGCCAACATGTTTGGCTAACTTTTATTTTTTTCCTATAGAGACAGGGTCTCACTGTGTTGCTCAGACTGGTCTTGAACTCCTGGCCTCAAGTGATCCTCCTGCCTCAGCCTCCCAGAGTACTAGGATTACAGGCATGTGGCACCGTGCCCAGCCTTGACTTCAAATATCTTGCTGACTTTTTTTGTTTTTAGGATGGTAGTATCTCACATAGGCATTAATTAGAACCATGAAAAATCAGTTTTTCTTGATAGAAGAAAATGCAGGAAATGACTTGCTACATTTTTATGGAATTGCAGATAAAATAAGAGGTCTATTTGATACATAATTTCCTACAAATTCTTATAACATGCACATCTAATAAAGTGTTATCTTTAAAACCATATTTGGTTTATTTCCATTCAACATTTCATAAGCCTTGTATCCCATAAACTCAATATCCCAAGCCTCCAAAAAGGGATGGTAGGGTCATGGTAGAAACACAGCAGGCTTTGGAGTCAGGATGCCTCAATCTGGCTTTGCTACTCGCCGTGTTTCCCAGGGCAAGTCAACCTTTCAGAGATCTTTCCTCATTTGCAAAGTGGAGATAATGCCTAACTCAGATTAAATGAGCATATGTGCATACATTTAGCCCAGGGTAGGTATTCAATAAAAAGGTAAGTGTTAATACCTTTTTCTTATGTTAAGTATGTGATTGAATAATTGTCTTGTTTTTCCATAGGCTCCTATGGATATTCCAGGTTTAAACCTGAGTCAACAGGAATATTACCCGTATGTGTACTACAAGATTGATTGCAACTTGCTGGAATTCAAGTAAAAATGAGCTCCTCCCCAGACAATCCTGTCCTTGTGTTGGTGTATGTAACAGAACTAGGTTGCAGTATGGTAGTGCTTTTAACTCTCTCTTACCCTTTGCTTGCTTACCCCTTTTCCTAGGTTAGTTCTCCCATAGTGGTCCAACATTTTCTTTTTAAAGGAAAATATATATATATTGTTTTCTTTTTATTGATCAGGTCTGTAAATGTGTACTAAAAAAAAAAATCAGAGTTTATTTATAAACAGAATAGTTTATTTAAAGAAAAGGTCTTTTCCTTATTGATATTGTGGTATGCATTAATTCCATTTGTTACTATTGTGCACAAAAACCTTGTTTACAAGGGAATGGTGTAAACATTTATACCATTTTGTTCACTGTATTTAGTAGACATAACTGTTCAATAGTTATTGAATTGTGATGTAAAGAAATGTGACAATATTCAGGTATGTGCTTTTTGAATGTTTCAAATTACAATCTATGAGCACTGTTGACACCCACAGGAAAGAATAAAATTACCTGTGCAAAGGTGTATTGTGGTGTGTGTAAGTTAAGATTACAATTCAGTTTGAGAGTTTAATAAATGGCATCACAGCTAACTGCTGTGCTACTTTCAGGATTTTGTTATATGCTGAGGTGTGACTGTTTGTGTCATCTGACTTTCCTGTGATTTAATTGTGCCAAATATGGGTCAGAGCACAAATTCAAAGATTATTTTTCAACTTATGATGAATATTTACATTTGGACAGTAGACTTTTAGTTCTTTCAAATAATTAAGAAGTAGAGCCAGTTTTGAATAAAGTGTAGCAAAACGATGCAGCTTTAGTCATTTGTTTTGTCTGAGTATTTTACATGTTTCCTTTTTAAGATCTGTAATTATAGAAGCCTTCATTTTGATGTTTATGTCATTTATGACATAGTCTGAAAATAGAGGCATTGCTAGCCTTTAAAATTTCTGAAATGAGGCTGGGCATAGTGGCTCATGCCTATAATCCTAGCACATTGAGAAGCTGAGATGAGAGGATTGCTTGAGGCCAGGAGTTAGAGACCCTGGCTCTACAAAAAATAGATAAGTTAGCAGAGTGTGGTGGCATATGCACCTGTAGTCCCAGCTACTTCAGAGGCTGAGGCAGGAGGATCCCTTGAGCACAGGAGTTTGAGGTTGCAGTGAGATATGCTGACGCCACTGCGCTGTAGCCTGTGCAACAGAGCGAGACCCTGTCTCAAAAAAGAAAAAAGAAGAAAGGGTCTCTGAAATTAACTAGTGTCCTGAATGAGCTTTTGAAAGAGGAATTTGTGGCAATGCTGCCCTTACTGTGTATTCACAGGTTTGCAAATGGGAGAAAGAAGTTTACATTTTATTTTAGGGGCATGTCATTATTATTCTATTCCCTTTAAAAAATTAGCCTCCAAAATTCTTTTTATTTCAAAATTGTATATTGTTATTTCTTAATCAATTTCAAACAAATACAGACATCTACAAAGTGAAACTTGAGAGACACTCACCCCCCACACCCCCCAATTTCTACCTCCCAAGGGACATTTATGTATTTTCCTGCAGGCCCTTTTCTGTATTTCTACAACATATATCTCTCACATACACACACAGTTTATTTTAATAAAAATGGGACCATACTACACACATTCTGTCACTTGCTTTTTTGCTTAATAGTATATCCAAAATATCTTTACAGTGTAGCTAGAACCATCTCATTCTTTCAACCAGCTCCATGGTGTTCCATCATGTATGTGTCTGTGCCATATGTACTATAGATGAATGGATGGATATTCAGGTTGTTCTCAGTTTTTGCTCTTAACATACACTGCTGTAGTAAGCATCCTTGCACAGTTCTCTTTGTATACTTGTATTAGTACTTCTGTAAGACAGATCCTAGAAGTGGAATTTGCAGGGTCATACATAAAAGTATGTACATATGTATTTAAAATTTGGGCACATACTGCCCAATTATCTGTCAGAATTCTAAATTCAACACATGCTTGGAATGTGGGTTTATTTTCAGTTTTCCTTTGGACAAGAAGAAGCTATAAAAACTGATGTCAGAAAATTCTGGTTCTGTGTCTTTTCACTTGTTCTTTGAGTCTTAGTATCTGTAAATTGAGAATAATCTTTCTATCATAGAGGGATATGTTTTGACTATCAACAATTTAAAATTTAAAATCCCAGCACAGCTGAGTGCCATGATGTGCTCCTGTAAGTCCCCGCTACTTGGGAGGCTGAGGTGGGAGGATTGCTTGAGTCCAGGAGTTGGAGGCTGTAGTTTGCTATGATCATGTCAGTGAGTAGCCACTGCACTCCAGCTTGGGCAACATAGAGACCCTGTCTGTTAACAACAACAAAAACAAAATCCCAGCATATGTTTGAAACTATGGGACTTTCACTATACTTTCTATCAGGGGTGCAGTGCCGCAGAGTGGCTGAGCATGTGGCTCTGGAGCCAGACCCCAGCTCTCTACTCATGGGCTCTGTGGTCTGGGCTCAGAGTGATCTCTGCATCCCAGTCCCTCCTCTATAGATTGTGCATAATTAGAGTGCCCACCTCATTAGGGCTGGTTGATGAGAAAGTGAGACCTCATGTGCACAGAAAGTGCTTTTATAGTACCTGCTGAGAAGTTGGTACATGTACTTACAATCCTTGAGGAGTACATGTAGCTCTTTTTTCACTGTGTTTACTTTGGGAAATTTAAGATACACATCATTGTATCTGAAGGTTAGAAGGAAGTAATTGCATGATAGGGTGTAGTGGGTGAGTAATAGAGTTCGTGTCTGTAACGTAACATTAAAGCAGGTTGAGCATCACTGAGCTTCAGTCTGTGTTGGGTTGTCTACATTGTTGATGGGGTACCATTCCTGGGAAGGGACTGCTCCTGTCACTTGCCTCACTCAGGAGTCCACTGGTTCTCCACTAGGATAGCGCTCACATTACACTGAGATTCATTAAACATTTATTGAGTATCCTTTAGAGACCATTCACACCTGTCACCTCAGCCCTTCCTTGTGATATTCATGATGGGAAGACTGGCAGTCCCCATTTTACATATGTGGAGATTTAGGATCAAAGAACTTAAGTGATTTCTATGTTAAGTCACATATTTTGAATCAGTCAGGATTTGAACCTAAGGTTTCTGACTGCTGGGTATCATACTTCCCACCCTCCACTAGGGAAGGCGAGTGAGCCAAAACATTCCTTAACCTTGGTCTAAGATAGATAATAATATAGAAAAGGTACTGGCTGTGGATAATCAGATATTAAATTGTGTTGGTATTTGGTAGGAACCCAGGAGTCCAGAACATTTCATGAATGATGGGTGATGATGTGTCTAGTTGTTTAATGCTAATACCAGTAGCCTGAGTTACCCTAGATTTTTCTACCTCTTCTACTGCCCTGCTGAAGTTGCTCTTAAGCAGAAGCTCTTTGTGGACCATACTCCACACAGCTTTTTGAACCAGTGCATATCAAGTAGTACCTTTAAAGTAATACTTTGTACATAAATACTCAGCAAATGTGAACTTTTATTTGCTCTTGCTTCAAAATTAGTCTCGTTGCTAATAAAATATAAGAAATTGATCTAGTAATGAGGTTTTTCTCCTTCATTCTCAACTATCTTTTTAGTCTGAAAAGAAATCAAAGTAACATATGCACAAGGTTAAAAACCACATATGCAAATATTACAGAACAGCTTATAATGAAAACCTTGCCTACTTTTAGAAAAAATATGATTGTCTTTTGTTAACATCAATAAAAGATGGTATGTCCTAGAAGGTCTATAACAGTATTACATTCTAGAGGAAACATACCAAATTTAGTACTTGTCTCTACATTGAAGTTCACCCATTTCAATAATGTAAATTTATTCATGGTCTTTATTTTTCTAGCATTGATAGCATTAGATTCTTTAGTGTATTGGATGTAATCCTCACTAAAAAGAGGAATACAGCACATTGGAACCATTTGATTCACCAGTGGATTTGCCATATTTTTAGATATGAGCCCCATGACTTGTGAGAGAAAAAGGGAACAGAGTAGAATCGCAGAAGTCTTGAACAGTAAGAGACTGCCTCCCCAGATTGTTCAGCTCTGCGGAAGAAGATAGAACTGAAGAGAAACAAGACAACATCCTTTACACCAGGAGTGGCCAAGATAATGCGAGAAGAAAAAAAGCTTTAAAACAAAGCTGAGGCAGTCAGTAAACACAAAGGGATAAGGGAAATGCAAATCAAAACCACAACAAGATACCACCTAACCCCAGTGAGAATGGCCATTAAAAAGTCAAAAAACAGATGCTGGTGCGAATGCAGAGAAAAAGATACACTTATACACTGTTGGTGGGACTGCAAACTAGTACAACCTCCATGGAAAATAGTATGGAGATTCCTCAAAGAACTAAAAGATCTACCATTTGATCCAGCAATCCCACTACTGGGTATTTACCCAAAGGAAAAAAAGTCATTTTATCAAAAAGACACCTGCACTTGAATGTTTACTGCAGCACAATTCACAATTGCAAAGATGTGGAATCAACCCAAGTGCCCATCAGTTGATGAATGGATTAATAAAATGTGGTATGTGTATACCGTGGAGGACTACTCAGCCATAAAAAAAGAATACCTTTTCTAACAATCTGGGTGGAACTGAAGTGAAGTATTGCAAAAATGGAAAAACAAACGCATGTACTCATTATTAAATTGAAACTAACCAATCAGTACTCATGTCCAGATAGACTAAAACTCAACAGAAATCAAGCAGGTGGGAAGGGGGAGGAGGGCTTGGGTGAATTCATACGTAACAGGCACAATGTACACTATCTGGGTGATGGGCACACTAATAACTTTGACTCAAGTAGTACAGAAGCAATCCATGTAACCAAAACATTTTTACCCCCATAATATTCTGAAATTAAAAAACACCACCATAAAGGGGACTTTCCCTGTCAGTTGCTCAATACTGAAATTGGCTATTATACCCACAGGGGTTCCTACTTAGGGAATTTAATAAAAACACAGATTCATTACCAAACTCCAGAGAAATGTGGTTTATAGTCTTAAGTAGATCTGAGGAACACTCTACATTTTTTTTTTTTTTTTGAGACAGAGTCTCACTGTGTTGCCCGGGCTAGAGTGCCGTGGCATCATCCTAGCTCACAGCAACCTCAAACTCCTAGGCTCAAGCGATCCTCCTGCCTCAGCCTCCCGAGTAGCTGGGACTACAGGCATGTGCCACCATGCCCGGCTAATTTTTTCTATATATTTTTAGTTGTCCAATTAATTTCTTTCTAATTTTAGTAGAGACGGGGTCTCGCTCTTGCTCAGGGTGGTCTTGAACTCCTGAGCTCAAACAATCCGCCCGCCTCGGCCTCCCAGAGAACTAGGATTACAGGCGTGAGCCACCGCGCCCGGCCAACAATCTACGTTTTTAACAAACACCCATGAGAGTCAGATGCGGGTGGCCACCGTTACAGTCTGAGACTGCCTTCTAAAGATTCTGCCTCTGAACCTTCAGACTGGGGCACTGACTTTGGGTTTGTGAGCATCTTGAGGTCTCATTCAAGCAGTGATTCTGCTTCACAGAGACCACATGTAATAGGATCATTACGGGCAAATCAGCCTTTTCTACTCTGTCACCTGAAGAAGCATTCCATATCCTTGCTTAAAAGAACCAGAAAGTTCTGCCTTAACAGGAACTGATCAATGAAGGTGTCCTTTACCCTTGGAAGGCCACAGAATATCAAGCTGAAATTTGTAAAGACTGCCTAAAAGGATCAAGGTCACATTTTCGTCTTTTCCTTGAGACAACCTCC